TTTCGAAAGTTACTAAAAAGTTACTAAAAAAAAAGTTAAAAAATAACGCTGATCGAAATTTCCCAAAAATGTATTAATCGCATATTCTTCAGAATATTCGTTCAAAATCACGTTAAACTCATCGTTAAAAAAAATATATCTTTAAATCTTTGATCCAAATTATCGACCGCCTACTATTTTTCACATTCCAATTTTTCACACAAAAAAAAAAAAAAATCAATAATGTAACAATTCATCGAACGATTTCCCTCCCGTTCCTGCCGCTATCTACATATGTACCGTGTACACGTAAGACGACCTTAAACGCGTTTCCGCGATCTCAAACGGCAATTAACATTTCGAGGTATGCCGTGTGGGTCTCGTATCGCAACACCGGCGTTCAAACAACGAGCGAGCGTACATATTCGAACTATATTTTCATCGAAAAAAGCTTGGACAAAACACGTCTAGAAGTTGCACGCCTAGTGCACGGTTAATCAAGGTCTCTCGCGCGAGAAGAAGAAGAAAAAAAATAAGAAAAAGAAAAAGAAAAAGAAAAAAGAAAAAGGAAACTTTTGTACACTTTCCTTGGAAGCAATCAGTGTCTCCCGTATTTCGTAAATACATCAATCAGCGGTAATCCTGAGCGTAATAATGAGTCATGAGGGAGAGAAAAAAAAGAGAGATGACGATATATCACGGGGAAGAATTGCGTTCCCGTGAAACATGAAACCGCACTAACTTCATTCGTTCAACAATGTTTCCTCGGAGAATGTCAAACTATTATCAGATTGTCAGTTTATCTTTTTCTTTATTTTGTTTGTTCACTAGGAAAATATTGATTTTGTTCGATTAAAAGAAGAAGAAGAAAAAAATGTTCGATGAATTCGTTTAAAAGATTTTATAGACTATTCATATTTAACAGGAAGATGTTTGATTAAAAAATATTTTTTAATGATTAATCTAAAGATCCTAAGATTGATCTACTAAAGATCTAGAAGGAGGAAATCGATTAATCGCAATTTTATTAAATAAAGAAAAACAAAATCTAGGAGAATTCGTGTAAGAGGAAGAATACATAGATGTAAAAGGAAAACTTATTCGTTTAATGATCTTCAATCGGGATCATAGGTAAAGATCTATGATAAAAAATCTCGATTGACAGCGATATTATATCAATTTAAAAATTGATCGTAATTTTATTCCTCTCCTCTTCAAAAAAAAAAAAAAAAGAATCTAAAAAATTCCATTTACAAAGAAAATTTATTCTCCTGAAAGAAATAAATTTATCATAAAAAATATAACGACTAACCAGAATGTTAAACGATCCGTTATGAGAAAGAATATCGATTAATCTGTTTGATCGTGATTGATAGATATCGATGATAGTGAAAGGGTTAAAAGTGGCATTTAGAGCAAGCCCTTATCGTTTCGCTGTAACGAGAAACAGGATCGTTGCAACAGTTGAACGAAGCGGATTGATATACTCGCGGTGCGAAAATTACAATCTCGAAATACCTTTCCACGTGTTATTCATTTAAATTGTGGTCGCCAAGAGTATCCAAGACTAATTGGAAATTGTTGGAAACGGTTGGAGAAGTTAATGAGAAGCATAATCAGAATTATTGAGTTTGTATATTTCCATGATAATAAAGAGGCACGTGGAAATTTTTGCATTATTTATTTTTTTAAAAAGATAATAACACATAAAAATGTTTAATATATCGACACGCTTGCACTTTTTATGATAACATTGTTGGCCGATTTCCGTTTTATCGAGTATATCGTATCGGCCGGAAGTGAATTGTGAATACACACAGTTTGACATTTGTAAAGAAATTTTTATTTCGTGTTTTATTATGTAATATATCATTCCAAAGATACTATTGCATTATGATTTCATGATCATAATTATTTCTAAGTTTCTCTAAGATAAGGATACACGTGTAATTAGAATGAAACGAGGTTATAGAATTTCTTTACACGAATTGAAAATAACATTATAATAGAAATTGTTGAAATGTAAATTAGGCATCTTTCAATTTCATGCAATGGAAAATGTTATATAAACGTTTTTAACCTCTCGAAGGACGAATTCATTAAGAAGTAATTATCTTTCACTTTTCTAACGAAGAGAAGTGTTTTCATTGAACATCAATTTAACCTTTTAACAGAAAACTTTCGTGCACTTAGAAATATTTGTTCACGATCTTATTCGTAATGTCACAAAACGAGAGAAAAATTACAATTAATAATGTCTAAACGAGAGATTCAATTAAAGGAATTATAAAAATTTTAGATTTTTGAAATTATATCATTCTCGATTATGAATGAATTTCAGTTTGATAAATCATGTAACGACACGACACGTCGAGGATCAGAATTTATTTCCAGACGAATAAGTCATTTGTTTTAAGTAAAACACTCGTTAACTCCTTCATCATATTGTGTTATATTCGAAAAGATATTTTAAACGTTATAACTGTATATATTATTATTAATAGCTTGTCAACACCTCGTTCGTGTATCATACTACATACTTATTGCCTTATATTAATAATCATATAGATGGCACCATTCCAACATGTGACAGAATGACGTTTTTAAACATTTTTATCTGAGAAAATTTTTACTATCCCAGAAAACCTCTCTCTAATTATTTATACTTTATATACTTACTTATTTTTATTTCAAGAAATTTTCTTACTTTGTATGTTTATTACTACATTATTGATTATCCATTTCCAGTAATTAATCATAATATTTTTTTCAATTAAGTATAAAACAAGTCTAGTCTAATCATACAAAACGTGCGCTTTGCATTTCGCAAAAGGCGCTCGATTCTTGCCTTTCTCATTCCCTCGACCACCTCTCTAAATTTTAATATATATATATATATATATATATGCACACTTATATTTAACAAATCTATTCATCTACCACGCGTCAAATATATCACCTGCTCGCCTAGATTTTCCCCGCGAAATTGGTTCGAGCGAAAGAAGAAGAAGAAGAAGAAGAAGAAAAAAGAAGAAAGAAACGTAGCAATAAGCTACACGAATCGCAGACCGGTTTATGGGACTGGTAATTCAGGAACCTGCGTGGATTACGTCTTACGTTACCCTGACGCAGAGCAAGTGCCACTCCGTTTCCGTGCTCTTATAGATCGGCCTTGATGCATGAAAGTAAGATCATTTAGAACAAACGTCGATGCGAATCGAGTATGTATGATCGTTTGTACACACACGTACGTACACACACACACACACACGTGCGCGTTATCAACGAGATCTATGCAATTTTTACATCCTTAACGATTGAACGTGTGGATCCTTAGATAAAATCGAAGGCCGATCCCGAAACTTCCGGTATTTAAAAATACCAGGGAGCTAGGATGATGAATCCTTTTCAATCAAGAAACCATTCCAAAATCCGTTTTAAAATCCGTCCATATTCGCGACAATGATTAAAAACATAGACAGAAGGAAAAAAAAAAGGGGGGGGGGGGAGGAGGAAAAAGAACGGTTCTTCTCCGATCTCCGCCTCGGGAAATGGAATTATTCATAGAACGCGGAACAGGTGTTGGAACAATGCAAAACCGATACGAACGTCGGTCTCGATCCGAATCGTCGAGCGTGATCGAGGATCCTTCGATCGTGTCCACGTGCTCGTTTAGATGGTCGGTGTGTGACTAACCGACACCGACTCAGAAGGGTCCCCTGTGATTCCCCTTTGTCCGCCTCTTTCCTCCCGGCTAGGCGAGATCGATCCCGCTCTCCGTCCCGTAGAATCCATATTGCAGAGAGTGTGACGAATCGTGTCGAAACGCGGCAGAAATTATGGGAGTTCCCCAAATAGTCCCCCCTTTTCCTCCAAAAGACCGATGACGTTACGATCGTGACGTCGATCAGACGCGGAAAATCATTTGTACCTGAGAAGAAATGATACTTCGTGGAATATATTATAGCAAGCTATTTATAGAAAACGCTTTGTGAAAAAAAAAAAAAAAACACGATTTTTCCTGTTAATAAGCGATGCTATTTCCAGATTAATGGTTCCGCGCGAAACTTATTACATCCCATTATTTAGAGATTAACGAACCGTTTAACGAGGCAAGCCCTTTCCCGATATTGCCTCGTTTCGTTCGCGTATATTTCGAGGGAATTGTTCGAAGGAACGACGACGAGAAATGATGGGACGAGATGGATCGTCTTCTTGGCTATGGATGGGAGGGAGATCGGCCTTGATCCGTGCAGCCGATTCACTATCGATCGAGAAATCGCGAGGAGAATTTTTCTTTTAATCGACTTGTAATTCGATTAATAAACGACGAGAGAATACGATATGAAGAATACACTATGAATAGTACGATTTCGATCACTAAAGAAAGGCGTTGCGTCGTTTATCTTTACTTCGAACAGGAATCTTTACATCGAAATTTTCAAAATTGAGTCTTTCCAAATCTTCGAAAATCAAAAAAAGAAAGAAAAAAAGATTCAAAATCAATTATCACATCACTCACTGACCAAGTTTCTAATTTGGATACCAAGGATTTGATCCAATCGTAAATCTTCTTGAATTTGTGAAAAATTCAAATATCCAAAAAAAAAAAATCCATTTTGCAAAAAAAAAGTACAATTTCACTCGAAGGGTGGAAAATCTTCGTTCCACGTCCGTTACAAAAAAAAAAAAAAAATAATAATAAAATAATAAATTTACACGAGAAAATCCTGACGCTATCGACGACGAAGGAGAAGAGGACAAGGAAATCGTGGAAATACCTCGTGGTGTTCGGAAAGGAGGTCTGCGCGATCGGTGGAAGAACGACGATGCTCGAACAGGCGAGGACGACGGTGGCGGTGGTGGTGGTGGCGGCGGCGGAGGAGCTGGTGGTGGTTGCAGCCGATGGACCACCCGAAACGGGGGTGGGGTGGGGGCACCCCTGACCCCGGCATTAGCCGGCGGTGAAGGGAGGCAACGTTTATATGCGGCGGCAATCCGCCCCGTAGGCGCATTCGCTCGTACGCTTCATCCAAAGCGGACTTACCGAGAGGAATCCGTCGTTCTGTCGTCGTATCGTCGTATCGCCGTTGTTGTTGTCGTTGCCGTCGAGCCGGATCGAGGTCTCGAAGGGAGAGCAAGAGCGTAAGACGAACTCTCGAGGAACGGAAAAAGAGAAGGAGAAAGAGAAAGAGAGAGAGAGATCGAAGTGTGAAGTTGAGGAGAAAAGAGAAAGAGAAAGAGAACGTCGTTGCCTCTTGATTGGTGATCCATCGAGTTCCCTCGACCAGACTCGGCAGTGAAAAAGCTAAGGGCGTTTGCAAAGAAAAAAAAAAAATCAACCGATCTCTTTTTTTCTTGGGGGCTCGAAGAGTTTTTCGATTTTCGGGAAGAACAGCACGGCGAATATGATGGCTGTAGCAGCGGCGCAGAAGAACCGCGAGATGTTCGCTATCAAGAAATCTTACAGCATCGAGGTGAGTAGTTTGAATAGTGTAAAGAAAGGAGTTGAGAAAATATGATGCATATGACGATTGAACGTGGATATTTTTTGAAAAATATTTCGACGAATGAATATCGTAATTAATTTCCGGGGGAAAAAGAAGTTATTGACAATTAATGAATTTTCGATATTGACGGTGATATTAACCAGTGGAGGGGGGGAAAAAAATCGGAAAATAGGTTGGATTACAAGGAGAGGGAATTTTATAGATATTTATATTTCGGAGAAAGTATCGGGCATTGAGTGTCAGAGTGTCGCGAGAAAAGCGCGGGAACTTTGCCGCACGTTTGAACCGCCACGATTCTCGCGCGTCACGCTATACTTCATTCATCTCTCCGTTTAATCTCGTTTCACTTTCTCTGTTCTCGGTATCATTGACACCGTACACGGAAACTTTCGAACGATGATTCTCAGCTTGAAAATCTATCGCGATAAATCTCGAAATTTGTTCCGTTATTCCCTAACCTCTAACGCGATATATATTATTTAGAAACTTGGCGCTTACCGATATCTTCGGAACTTTCATACACGGAAGAGTTCTCTTTCGTCTTTTTCTTTTTTTTTTTTTCTTTTCTTATTTTTTTTTTTTTTTTTTTGCCTACGTGACTTTCTTGATAAACGTCCGGTATATTTCGTAACGGCTAAAAAAAAATAAATGACAACCGATCCTCGTGTAAGCGCGTGCATGGATACACATACACAAACGCGATATTTCACCTTCGTACATGCCGCTCGAGTGAAATTCTCAAACTGGAAATGAAGAAGATGCCCAAAAGTATAGAGAAAGTACACGTGATCGATTACTATGATGGTTACGTAATGTCGGTAACCTTGCTTTATACAACAGTATCGATCGAGTTCGTTTTGATCATTCGAGTGATCTTGCTATTTTGATATTTCAAAATTGGGTTCCAAGATACGATCGATACGATCAAAAAATTGAAAAAAAATATTCTGCAGTTCGTATAAATAATTTAATTTTTTTTTTTTTTCGAAAACGCATAATATGATTTTATAAACGAACGAGATTTTTTGATTGAGTCCATAATTAGAGTATCCTAAATATTCTTGTATGAAAATTCAACTCCATACTTCCATTCTTCGTTTATTCGTGGAAATTACCAAATCGGTAAAGAAAATATAAAACATCACCTAAATGAACCGATAAACATGAAAATTCAGTTTTCACCAATCCATTCTTGCATTGCTTTCGATTCAACGAAAACACCATACTTTGTGAAAAACTACTTCATTCTCACGATAATCAAATTATAAAAGAAAGAACAAAAAAAAAAAAGAAACAAATTCGAAAAAATAAAAAACGAGAGGAGAGAAAACGCGACGCAGAATGGAAACCGATCGTAGCCAAACAGAGGCAAACAGGTGAAAACGACGCGTAAAATAACAAATCGACGAGAGTTACGCACAGGCGTGCTTCGATCTTTCACTTTTCTATCGATCGCTGGAGGAACGGGTATTTATACACGATTTTGCGGAAAAAGGAACACGAACACGTTTCACGCGTCCAAGGTCCGCGTCCGATCATTGGTTATCGCGCGCGCGTGTGTGTGTGCGTTTCACGATAATAAAAAAAAAAATCAAGAAACGTTTAATAATGTCGCGTGGCCGGCTTAATTGCGGCTTCTCGTTTCGTTATCGAATCCGTAATCCCCCTCGATCCCCGCTTGGAAAATCGCGCGCGCCAAATCGCTTTCAAATCGACGAACGATCGCGCAACAACGACTTTCGATCGAAGCCTCCTCTCTCGAGGCCGTGATTCTTTTTTTCCATTCATAAACGAGGGAGGCACGCCACGAAGAAACGGGTCCTCGGTGAATTAGAAACGCAAGGACGTATATCTCCTATGCGCGCGTTTTCTCGCGTCCATTTTTTCCTTTTTCTCTCTTTCTATTTTTTTTTTTTTTCTTTTTTTCAAATCGCACGGCGAGTGAAGATTAATTAACCGAAGATTGGCATCCTGACGCAAGGTCTGGTTAGTTTCTTTTTGCCCGTTCATACCCCCGCCTCATCATCGTTCAGATTCAGATTTATTAGTCGCACGCACTGTCGTTGCGTTCTACTTATGCAATCGTTTTTTTCATTATTCATATACGTGTATATATGTATATATATATATTCTTCTTTTAATTCGTGATTTCTTTTTTTAAGTGTAATAAAATGAAATTGCCATTTCGTGTGTTGTAAAAGAGAATTTGAATTGTTGTTGAGTGGGATATTATACGTACGTGAAATTGTAAATAGATTATTGTGAAAATGTATAATATATCTTATCTTGTTTTGCGATGTTTAAAGTATTTATAAAATAATAGGATAATAGAAGTGTAACACGCGAGATGTATATTCATTAATACAAGAATTTTTCATTTCTTCGCTCACGTTGATATATTTTATAAATTTTTATGAATTTTATTAATGCGAAGAACGTTAGAAATCATGGCAAATGAAGAAAAAATATTATAAATTTGAGAAAATATTATGAATTTTATTCGAAAAACATGTTTCTAAAAAATATATATATATATTTTTTTCAATCGACATTAGATATAATTCAATATATCGTCCAACTTTTATCGAAAGTAAAAAGAAAAAATTGATCTTCAGTCGAGGACGTGAAATTTCTCAGTTACTCATTTCACCGGCCGAGAAGCAAATTGATTCACACTTGACCCGTGGCCATTAATCCTTTACTTTCTCCGTGAATTAAACCTGTATCGTATGTGTATATTCAATTAGGTAAAACAGTGACGAGCAGGCATATCTGATGAAATTTTGGAAATCATGATATCACGCATCCGAGTTAAATAAATAATCACGTATCGATGATTATTATAAGTGAAAATAATTATACTAATCACAATTGTGAATCAAGTAATTATATCGTTTGTAATATCGTACAATGAATAATTACTATATATATATATATGTCCATTTTACATGTTATAATTAAAATGTGCGGACAAAGAAAGACAAATGAAGCTTTTTAAAGAAGTGACAGTAGCTTAAAACATTTCAAAAGAAAAAAAAAAAAGAATGAAAAATCAAGAAAAAAAATATCACTTTTTAAGAATAATAATATTAAAATCAATTTATTTCTTGAGAATTATTAATTAGAAATATTAAATTAAATATTCTCGATAAATAATATATTCATTAATAAAAATAATTCTTCTTTTACATAACGTGCTGTTACCATCATCGAGAGATTATTCTCACGTGCAATAATAAGCGCAATAAATAGCATGTAGATTTTCAGATAAAATGTTAGAAATACAAATCACGTTAAAAACAAACTATAACGTATTTAAATCTGCATAAACGTACATATTCCAGAAAATACCATCTAAATTATTATCAAACTAATCATGCTTCCCTTAATCATCGATCAATAATAATCATCAATTACACGTATTACATATTTAATGACAATCGCATCTTCTTTAAATCAAATCGAAATTCGACAAACTTTTGAAAAAAAAAAAAAAAAGAATTCACTCGCGAATCGCGCCCATTAATGCACAATGAAATGTCGCTTAAGTGAGCGTTACTTACGTATGCGCTGTGTTAAGCGAGAGTGGGAAAGAACGACGTTGATAAGTCTGACTCACTCGAACGGAACTCGTGCACACGCCGGATCTAGATAGAGATCGGATCCAGAATCCGCTATACGCTCGCACGTTCGATCCCTATCGATCGTGTTCGCGCCATTCTTCAACGAGGGGGGTGAAAAATCACCCGACATTTCTCGCGTTTCTCATTATCGCATTCGTAATGTTTATTTCATCGAGTGTCGCCAATTGTCATCGTTACCTGCCCATTCCTCCCATTCGTTTATCTTGCTTGTGTAAACACACGATCCATCTTATAATATTGTTTAAAAAATTCCTACGGTTTACCTAGTCGCGCCCATGTGTGTTTAGATTAATTAATTTCCAATAGAAGTGGAAATCCATCCTATTTGAATATCATTAAATGTCTCGTCGGGTTTCAATGAAATCAATGAAATCTATATTGTAACAGATTCGTTCCGCCGGTATTTCAACGATCGTTTTTATCGTTTATGGACTCCTCCAATTTGCATAACGATTGATTAAAAAGTTCGAGTATTATTTTAATGAAAGTGAGCAAAGTGATTGAAATATATGTTTCTATAAAAATTATCCTTTTATCGCGGAAATATACTGGATATTAATATACTCGTGGCATATATTTAAAATATGGTAGAAGTTTTTTAAGTTAATAAATCAATTTACGTTATATAGATACGATTCAATCTAACTTTTTACTATATCTTACTAACTCTTATATTTCTTTCGTCTCTACCAAAATCCATCCAAAGATACAACATATCTTTTATACAAAATATCTCTGCTTACGTATCAAATTATCCCTCGAGATATTAAAATTAAAATATAAAATTCAGAGATGAAAATGAATCTGTCATTCTAATGTTGAGAAAATTTTCTTCAAAAATAAAATAATAATAAATTCTATCCAGAAGATCTATCTCTTCGTTCCAATTAATCGAGATTTATTACCCGATAGTTACGATTCGTTAAAAAAAAAAAAAAAAAATATCGTAATCAACGGCGAACACCCTCGAACGAGAGGCTGGCCTTTGCCACGCGGCAAGGATCGCATAATTGTATCGCGTTGCAAAATCGGCCGACCTCGGATCCCGCATGATAATTATATGAATATCTTATAAATATGAGAACGTGAAGTGATTGTAAGTCCGATGGTTGCTCGTTGAGTCCCTGAACGCTGCTCTAATCTCCGTTATTCGCCTTTGGAGGCTCGCCACACGGCTGACAACGCCTCTAATCGACGACACCGACACGGTCAATCGCGACGCGTTCCGAATTTGCATACGTATGCGGCAATAATCGGGTTTGGCTCGTCTATCCACTATGCTAATTGTTCTATTTAAATGGCCTTTTTGCTTATTTAAAACATCTCTGAATCTGAAAAGAAAAATCGTATTAATGAATCAGATGCATTATGCATATTGATCACGTAATGATTCGCGATTGCTACTATTTTTCCAGTATTTTTTTTCTTCTTCTTCTTCTTCTTCTTCTTCTCTGTTTTCGGTTTCGATGGATGCTTATGAATGGAATGGAATATGGGAGTAATTGTTAATTGTTAATTGTTAAATGTTATGGATTAAGTGTAAAGTAAGGATGAAAAAATTTTGAAAAATTGGAATACGTTTTATAGAAATTTAAATTTAGGAAGATTATATTTGTTATCTCCTTCATTTCACGATCTCTCTAGATTTTGATTTTGATTGATATATTATTTTAAATGAAATTATTAGGATTATTCTGAGGATAATTCTTCGAAAATTTTTTTAATTTTAGAAATGATAATCGAATTTCTCGAAAGAAATTTTGAAGAAAATTTTCTCTTTAAATCTCGAGTGATTAAGCATTGACAAAATTATACGATCATTATTTTAAGATTAATTACAATTATATTGAATATTTTTAAAAAATTACATATCATTAAATCTTCATTTGAGAATAATTGTCACTAAATACCAAAGAAAAATCTCTTTCCAAAATTACAACTTATCCAATTCTCTTCTTCTAATTGTGAAGAGATTATCGAGATTTTTATCAAAATTTGAAATTTGAGGGAAACTCGTTTCGTTTGTTTAACCGGTAGTTGCATTTCTGTGATGCATACCAAGTGTTACGTCACTAAACTAATAGCGCTGTGCGACTATGATTTTAATGGCGAAATAATAATCGACCTTGAATACGTTTGTCATGCATCATTATCCAGCTTGATCGATAAAAAAATATCCAATTCCATGCAAATATCTCAATCAATCGAGAAATTCAAGCGTTCGTTTCGCTTGATGTATAACGAGACTTGTGATTAAAATTAAGAAATTAATCGATTTATAAAAGGGAAAAGAAATTTGTATAATTGATACTTGATTTATCGAGCAATATATTTAATAATTTATTTAATAATTATATTAATCATTTCTAATATATTCATTGAATAAATTCTTCCAACAAATGATAACCGTTCTTCGACCATTATTATTCTCATTTTCAAATCATTATTTTTTTCTCTTTCTTTTTTTTCTTTCGGTAAAAAATATTCCAAACAATACACGAAACAAAGTGTAAATTATTAAAACTAGTATCAATCGAATTATAATCTCCTTTGAACGCGCTTACAGCAAATATTCTCTGCGTGAGGCATGCAAATGTAAATTTATCACCATTTATCGCTCAATTACGATTCACTTTTCACTCTTTATACGAACTCGTGCCACAAAACGTTATTCTTATCGCGTGAAACAAAGAACAATCCATTATAAATCGAGCCTTCTAGCGCGTGACTCATGATCGAGTTAATTAACCAGGTGGCACTGGATATAGGAAAGACTTCAACTCCAAACGATCGAATCGGTCAGAAGACTACTGGCTACTTCTCTCTTTCTCTCTCGAACGGGAGATAATATATTTTAGATCGATTAGACGCACTACAGATCCTATAGAGTCATTTATCCATCCATCGAAGTACTTGGCCCAGTTCGCGCGATGCGTTGTTAAGGGATTACTACACGTTTTCTCTAAACCGTGCCAACCGCTTTGCACGCTTGGAAAATGGAACTGGGTGGCCACCTTGCGTGCGCCATTCATGAAAAGCGGCCGTTCTGAATTTGAATGATGCCTCTCCACTCTTGCATCGACCTCTGCCGCGTCCAAGAATTTCTAACTAGCCTCTAATTGTCGATATTCTATAACCGCGTTATGATCGTGCACTCCGTGATATTCTTTCGAGTTTGATTTTTAATCAAAATAGTAATCACTTTTGAATTGTGTAATACGCGAGTTTTTTATTTATTCTATATCTATAGTTTAAACATAGTGATAGAACTTAAAGTATTAAAATTATAAATATAAATAACTTATTAAAAATGATGAAAAGTCCTGTTATTAAATTGACTTCCCACCTTTTTTTATTTTTAATAACGAATATTTCTTCTCTCTTATCTTCTTTACAATGCAAGAAATCAGATCACACAGAAAGTCATCGATGCAAGTGCTTCTTTGTGCTTAATGTCCTCTGTGCCGGGATCCCCTAATTTCCGATCCTTCAACGACAGCCGGATACCCTGCCTTCAACCCTAATTTCCGCTTCTTTATCCCACTAACTCTTGTCCAATCTTTGAGAATTGGATTAAAAACTTTGATACCTCGTTAAGAACTTCGCTGAAACAATAGAAGAATATCCTGTCGTTGGATGATATTTAATTCGTATGAGTGATTTTTAACATTCTTTGTTAAGCATTCTTGATTAAATTTTGGAATAACGTTTTGTTTTTTCTTTTTTTTCAGAATGGATATCCGGCGAGACGACGATCTCTTGTGGACGACGCTCGCTTTGAAACTTTGGTCGTCAAGCAAACGAAGCAGAGCGTTTTGGAAGAAGCACGTCAACGGGCGAATGGTATGTTAGCATATTTTGCATTGCATGCGGGGATATGATAAATTTTTATCGTAAATTAAATAGGTGTAAACCCCTTTGAATATTTCTATGTCGTACGATTGATTGTATTGCTCGTGTTGCACGATCGTATCGAATATCTTTATCAATGGTTATACAGTGGATAACAAATCTTATTGATTTATAATTATTTGCGAAAGTCTTCGTATATTTTGTAATCGTGATATTTATGTATTGATATAGGAATTTATGATAATCACAGAATGAATATTTGTAATAAAATTTGTAGTAAATTATTTTACAGAAATATTTTACAAATTATTAAATTATTATTCGTATATTCTATCCTATTCAAATATTCAAATACACTTTCTGAAATTTTCTTATAACCAATTGATTTTGGCAAAATTAGAGAATTTTGTATATGTATAGCGACCTCTATTTGTGGAATATACGAGGACTTTTTTTTAACGAGTGAATGCAAACCTCAATTTCAACGTGTTATGCAATAATAATATCGATGTTGCATGATAAATTCATTTGCTATTAACCTCGATAGGCGAAGAAACTATCTGTCCACATGACACGGAACGTTATGCTTCGTCGAGCGATGATGAACAGTTGGAAACATTGGCTTGCACCGCCAAGAATGGAGGTTTGTATTTATCTAAAAATCTTTGAATGGTTATACAAGCATGTTAGATATTGCATTTGGCATGAGCACGCAATTGTGTTTGACTTGCAGAGATTAAAGCGGAAGACGGTGACGTGGTGAAACCAGATGAAGATTACAACAATGGTAAATATATTTATGTAATAACATTTAATTATTCTATTATTCCAATTATCCTTTTTTTTTAGTAAAATTGAAATTGTAAATTCTAGTAAATTTCATATCAATCTGTAAATTCGAAGCATGATTATAAAATAATTATATAGAGAGAATGGTAAATAGTTGTATTTGCATTGAAAAATTATATTAGAATAATAATAATCATAGAAATTTTCAGTGAAGAGATTTTCAAAAAACGGCTCAAAACTAATCCAAAACTAATATAATTTACGAATCAGTCAAGAATAAAGATACAAAAATATTCGATTAATTAAATTCTCTGCGTCACATTTGTTAACAATATTAAAATTCGACGAAATCAAATTCTTTACATTTTAACAGATATCGAAAAGATCAAGAAAATTCTCGATATAAATACGCAATGAAAAAAATGCATAAATTAAACGGAGATAAAATCATTTTCTCATCCCAGGATAGCATACACCTGATCAAAGATGGTGGAACAAAAAGTTTTCACAGACACTTGGCCGAATCACACGGACGACTCACTCTTTCCGCCCTTTCTCTGGCCATTTCTCCGGAGTCACCCTTCTCTCCCCTCCCCCCTCCGTTACTTTTTCGAATCCGCTTTGTGCATTTAGAATCGTATTAGCCCTTTCTGAAAACGCCTTCGCGCGATAAATGTATTTCTTTCTTTGCCGTCTCGATCTTTGCCACGGGGACGGGGCACGTCCGTGGGCGACAATAAGAGGTACTTTACTCTGTCCCTACTTCCTCCCTCCTGTGTGCAACGACGACGCCCCGTATAAAAGTGGGCACACCGCGGAAATGGACTTTGAATTGCTCGATTATTACCGGCCATGGAAAATCACTTAGCCTTTCGAGGCATCGCGTTGAAATTTGAAAGGAAAGTGGCGTCGAGCGATCAAATTTGATAATTTAACGGTGGCCAAATCAATTTTCGTCCCGTCCTCTTAAGAGAATCCCTCCCTTCGAATTGTAAAATAGATTTAAGGGACAGGGAATCAGAATTTCATTAACGTTAACGAATATTTTTTTTCGATTTATCCTTTTAACTGTTAGAATTTTTTTTTTTAAACGAATCTTGAAACCATAGAATTGATGGTATTAATATAAAAAAAATTATTAAAAATGCATGTCTTATAACAATTGTTTTATAAATTTGGTCATTATTAATTCATGATCCTGGAGAACTTAATTCTATTCGAATAATTAATCTTATTTACGATCCTAATATTCCTGATCATAAAGCTAAAGATAATATATAGAATTCGAATATTTTTATGATTTGTTGATACAAATCATTTTATAATTAAGATTTAAAAATAATTTTTATATTTAATTTTCAAGATTAATAGTTTAACTTAAAATCTTTGATGGGTTAAATCATCCATTACATCTCTTAAGTCATTCAATTACTCTGTCTCGAGCCAGTCACCCTCGATAGAGGGACATTTTTCAAAAATAATACATATATTACAATTAATCGATCATGCACGTAACAAAAATAATCGACCTTGTCATTTTCGTTCATTCAGACGCTGGACTGACCGAGGAGGAAGTGGTGTTGGCGAAGACAATAGCGGAATGCCCGGAGAGCGAGAACACGGTGCAAAAAGCTGCGCTTGTCCTGCGTCTGAGAGAGGGGATCGGTTCCCTGGCGAGGATCTTGAAGACGATCGAGAACTTCAAAGGGACGGTGACCCACGTCGAGTCTCGGCCGTCCAAGAAGGAGGGCCTCCAGTTCGACGTGCTCGTCAAGGTCGACATGACGAGGCAATACTTGCTCCAACTGATCAGGAATCTCCGCCAGAGTTCCGCCCTGGACGGCGTCACCCTCCTCGCGGACAACTCCGTCAGCATCAAGGATCCATGGTTCCCGAGGCACGCGTCCGACCTCGACAATTGCAACCACTTGATGACCAAATTCGAGCCTGACCTCGACATGAATCATCCTGGATTCGCTGACAAGGAGTACCGTGCCCGTAGAAAGTTCATCGCTGAAATTGCATTCGCGTACAAGTACGGGGACGCGATACCAACCATCCCGTACACGGAGACGGAGACCGAGACTTGGACAAGGGTGTTCAACACCCTCGTCGATCTGGTACCGAAACACGCTTGCGCGGAGTATAGAAGAAATTTTAAGAAGATGCAGGAGGAGAAGATATTCGAGCCTCACCGTATACCGCAGCTGCAGGAGGTGAGCGAGTTCTTGAAGAAGAACACAGGGTTCACCTTGAGACCCGCGGCCGGATTGCTCACGTCCAGGGACTTCTTGTCGAGCCTAGCGTTCAGGGTGTTCCAGAGCACTCAGTACATTCGTCACATCAAGAGCCCGTATCATACTCCTGAACCGTGAGTTTTTGTTTCTTCTTTCTTCGTTCTTTAAAGACTCCTTTTTGTTGCTCCCTCCATTTTGGAGAATATTTAAATATATTGGATCGTTGTTGTTCGTTAGAATTTTATTAGAATTAAATTTGGTCTTGCGATTACGTTTGTTAATTATTAATTTATAAGAATTAAAATGGACTTTTTTCTATATAATTTTTCTTTGACATCTTTTCGTACGAAGGTATATGATGCGAGAGCAATCGATACTGCGTTATGATGAGAGCGAGCTGCCGTTACACAGAGAACGATAATAATGGAATTACCGTGCCTCTCTAAGCTCGTAATGGAGCTCTAATTGGCTTTTAACGACACGATGGCGTTGATAACTCAGTTTCGCAGTTACGAACACTATTTTCTCTATCGAAATAACCCTCGTGCTCGTCAAAATTTTGACGAAAGTGTATCCCGCGAAAGAAATATCACGCGCCCCTCAAAATTATTACATCGATTTCCTTACTTTTCATTTTCAAATTTTGAAAGACATTTCCCTCTCCTCGCTACTCACATCTTTCAAATAATGAAACATTTTCAATGTACGAAAATTCAACTTATACGTATTATATATCGACTCTATTTCGACGTGAAATTTTAGATAATGAAATTACTTTTATTAGCCGAGAGATGAAAGCTTCGCTATTTTTGAATTCCACTCTCCTATACTTTGTTCTCTCGGTTCAATTAGTTTCCTTATATATATATAATGAAAGTAATATTATCAATGGAAAAAGACTTTATCGATTTCTGTTGATTCGCAGAGATTGCATCCACGAGCTCTTGGGACACATGCCGCTGTTGGCCGATCCAAGCTTCGCCCAATTCTCCCAGGAAATCGGCCTCGCTTCGCTCGGTGCCTCCGACGAGGAAATCGAGAAATTGTCCACGATTTACTGGTTCACCGTCGAATTCGGCCTCTGCAAAGAGGGGCCGGATGTGAAAGCCTACGGTGCCGGCCTTTTGTCCGCCTACGGGGAGCTTCTTCACGCGCTCACGAGCGGCAAATGCGAGCATCGGCCGTTCGAGCCAAAGTCCACCGCCGTTCAAAAGTACCAGGATCAAGATTACCAACCGATCTACTTCGTGGCGGAGAGCTTCGAGGATGCCAAAGAGAAATTCCGCCGTTGGGTAAGTGTCGATCGAGAGACTTCGATGCCTGGCATATTCGGTTTCCTTTTTTATTGTTTCTTTAATGGTCACATTTCAGTTTATGAAAATATTAATTTTGCATACTTTGTATTGGACTAATTATGTATATTTTACGGTAGAAAGTATTTTACATAGAAATTAGAATTTGCCGAATATTAATTTAAAATATCTTCATATTCTAGAATATGGATATGCTAGTTGAAAGAATAAATTAATGAAATTGAATATTTGAAACGATCTTATGTTTTAACTTTTGTGTTTTATCGTGTTCCAAAAGGTGTCTACCATGAGCCGACCTTTTGAGGTTAGGTATGATCCGTACACGCAGCGCGTTGAGATACTGGACAGCGTGGACAGGTTGGACAACCTGATGGCTCAAGTGAACACCGAAATGACGCACCTCACGAACGCTGTCAACAAGCTGAAGACATCGTTCGCGTAAAAACAAGAGGTTGTCCAGCCTCCGTGGTGACACGATACGACTTCACGTATCATCGAGCTTCCTAAAGTTTGCCGATCTTCGACGTATGCTCTTCAAAATGTGTTCGCAGGGAAATCGCGATATATATATATATTCTATATATATATGTATATTCTCTACTTTGTTCAACAAGTTTGCTCATTTGCGTCGCGAATCTTGACTCTTCTCCTCCTGTCAAGACTCATATCAAGCCGAGTGTAAATAAGTATTAATAATTTGTATTTCTTGCTTCCTTCTTTTTTTCTTCTTCTCTTTTTTCTTTTCTTTTTCGAAAAAAAAAAAAGGTCGAAATCTCGTCAAATCATCCGTATTATCATCGTTCACATTCGATCGTTCTCACTCTGTGTATAAAGTCGCCCATACTACGCGTATTAACCAGATTACTTACGTTCAAAACGCGTATTCACTCGTATTATTCTCCGTGTGATACGATTGAGTCCTCGATTAGTCGACCCTTCGTCTCTCGTGTTATTTATTGATATTCTTGCAAAAAAAGAAAAAAAAAAGAAGAAGAAGAAGAATAGTATTATTGGTGGATGTTCGTGTCTCGTGAAAACCGAGCCGAATCCGCTTTCGAACGTTCCACGCATACGTACGTATTCGGTTATTTTGTTCCCTATCGTATTCTATTATGTATTACATATTACTATCTATATTAATTGTAGAATATTACAAGTAGTCGCGTTTGAGTTTTTCTTATAGATAGCGTGGCGACACAGCCTCTTCGCTCCAAATTGAGCGTGGACGGCTAGTATTATAAAACAACGTAGGTTCTTTATTTTTAATTAATTATTAACGAATCAATCTTGAGATACATGCTCGTTCTTCGTTCGTTCGTTGTGAAATTATTATATATATATATATATATATATATATAAAAGATATTATCGAATCATTGTTACGTGGATGTTTTTTTTTTTTTCTATTCAAAATTTTAGGAACGAAGAACGCATTCGTATCTCGAGGAGATATGTAGTTACACACACACACAAACACAACTTCGATGACGAAGTCATAGATCAGTGTTGCATTAGAGACGCACCAATGTAGCGTGTAGTGCCGAGTAATTGCTTGCGCACCTTGCACAATTTTCCCAATAACTCGTACCAAATACTTTTTTCCCGCGCCCGATGCGCACACCTCCTCCGCGCTTGCTGTAGAAAATTATTGGCGCGCCCGTTAGAATTTCCTTTGTATTATATTGTAAAGTATTCTGAGCATAATAAAAGTCTAAGATACAAATCTTATAAATCCTTTTCTTTCGTTTAAGATTTTCTTTCTTCCTTGCTAAATCAGATTTCAATTTTCGCTCATAAAAATGGAAAATTATCGCGTGTATAATAATAGTTTCGAAAAAGTTTCATATAAGAGAATGTTCCCTTTTTTTTTTTTCTATTCATTGAAAATTTAAAACGTGCATTTTTATATTCGTTATATTTCAACTTGAATTTCAATTTTAAAGAAAGTTATTACACTTTTTGAAACCACTTGTTATTCGATATAATAATAATAATGATCGAAAGTTTTTTTAAAAATTTTGGATTCGAAGGTACACGTTATAATCGTATAACCTATAAAAATTAATCGAACATGAAACGCGTAAATTCGAGTACACGCACACCTGTTTAACATTTCACGCACGATGACGAAAAATGGATTATCTTCGCCGATTAATCATCATCGAAGTGAAATCGTTTCCGGATCATTCCCCTCGAGGCGAACGTCCCGTCGAACAGACTCGTAGCCACCTTCCGTCTCCACTTTGTTTTCGATTGAAAACATCATGGCGATTCCCACATAAAACCCCTCGATGAGTATTTAGCCATCATACGGCGAGCAGCACCCGCGTTCTCATTGGAGATCATGAAACTCTTGGCGGTGCTATGCGCGTTGATGATACAATGCGCCGCTTCAAAATCATGGAACAACGATAGTAAGGTGATAGCCTTGTATATGCCTCGACACCCGATGTGACTTCCTTCTTTGCCCGTCAGGTTATTCGGAGGAGTTCTTCGTGTTTAACTGGTTCGGATATTTAAAACGTTTGTCTTTGATAATCCTGATGTTGTCCGGTATTATTCTCTACTATATTCCGGAATCACGTCCACGTGAGTAAAAGAAAAAAAAAAAAAAGAGTAGACGTAAATGCGGAGTGGAAAGGATAACAATTGTCTAATTTCTGATAATTATTATTGTAAATTTTATTTGGTAAATAATATTCGAAATATTTTATTTTATTTTATTTATCATCGTGGAAGGAATGTTCTTCTTGTGTGGTAATATGTAAATATGTAATTGAGAGGGAGAAAAGACATTTGTTTTAAGCGATTAGTAATTAATAATTATAATTTATTCCATGAAACGATTTAATTAAATCATAGTTTGTAAAATATTTACTTTTTACAAATATTCAACGAATCAGATATATATATATATTCAAATTTTTATTTGACTTTGTGCTACTTCAATAATGCTTCAATAGTTTAAATCCATACAAGTATTCATTTTCCAGCTTCGTCAAGTTTACGAGTTGTCGTAATATTTATTTTTTCAGATGCTCGTCGAATATGTTATATGTTGATCGATTTTACGGCAAACGGTTTAAAATCTGCACTGAGCGCCCGGGAGAGCGAGTACCTGTACGAGAAGATTAAATCCAAGTACGATCGTATTCGATACGAGCATTCGCTCGCTTCACAGAAATATATCTCGCCGGAAATTCAAGTTGAGAACGAGCACCCCATCCATCGACCCCACAAAAGTATCTCCAAAAAATCGAAAGTCTATTTGGCCGATGATATGATGGGGTCAGTGAGGAAATTTATCGAATTTTACCGAGCGATACAAATATTCTTTTAAAATGGCGTTAATTGTATTTAGAAATAAGGAGAGGATAAGGAAAAAGCACAAGGATCGAATCACGTTGTCCAAGTCACGTCATCTTCGCAGCAGTATGAAAGATATCTCTATGGGTGATTGCGCGGAAATCTCCAAACCGATCTATTTTTATCCCGAAAAATTGGACGATTTTCAGAAATACGTGAAGACAAGTTTGTCTGGTTTGAAACGCGATAAGAATTTAGAGAATTACACGCTTTTGATCAGGTATATAATCATAATATTATCGAACTTTTACTCGTTTCTATTTATTTTTTCCTATTTTTACGTTTTTTTTTCTTTTTTTTTTTTTTTTTTTTCGTTTATCGTTTAAATATAAAGCGAAGTTATCGACAGATTTTGTATATCCAATAGACTGTAATGGAATGTAATTTTTGATTTCCAGCAAGGTGCCTCTATCGGTAAAAATGGGTCGCTTCTCTTCCGGCAAATTTTTCCGGCAACAGAAGAATACGTGACATCACATTGGCATCCCACTTTCACCGTTAGATCAAATAGAGTGTTTGGTAGAGTTTTGTCAAAGTTTTTGGTAAAAACTTGATCGTGTGATTCGTTGAAGTTAATATGGTGTCACGTGTTCTCATCCTAACGAAATTCGCCACTTTTAACGGTGGCAATTCCAATTTGTAGTAAAAAAAGAAATAAACATTCGTATACAGATGATTTTTATCGTCTTTGTTTCATTCGTTGCTTTGATTAAACTGTTGATCTTTTGCATGATACGAGATTATTTCTATTTCGTCGCAAAAACTATTTTCCTCTCGAGAAAAGAAATTGTAGTGCAAGAGGTTAACACGTGAAAAAAATATATAAACGACAACAATCGCGAGAGATTGGCATTGAAATTTTTAATTTCCGGTGAAGAATAAATGAACGCAATTCAAATTCAATTTCAGTTGATGAATATAACTTCGTTCTAAAATTCGTTCTTTTACAGTGGCAATCCGCAACAAATGGCGATATTCGATCAGAAGTTCGATAAGGAAGACATGGTGATTGTTCAAGATCCGTACATGAAAGTGGAGTACAAGGAATGCGGCACTTCCACCGACAAACTGTCGGCGAAAGTGGAAGCCTCAAGCTCGGACCAAGAGGGACCAACTAGAGACCTTAACGAGAATGTAATGGATACCCAATAAATTGAAGAATTCATAAGATTTCGTTTCGAAAAAAGAAAAAAAATAATTTAAAATATTTTCTAATAATTTAAAAATTTTTATAATTCTATTCTATTTTCCTTCTTTGTATGTAGGACATGGAAACGTACATAAAGGAAATTGAATTCAGCTCGATTCCGGAAAACACCGGATCGAGATATTCCATGAACAAGTTGTTGTATCAAACAAGCCAATGCCAATGTGAACAAGATTGTTGTAGACCCAATGAATATTCTTTCGGATCTTTGAATAACAAGGCAGCTATATCAACGCAGTATTTGTCCGAGGTAAAAAGAAAAAGAAAATACGTTAAAGTAAATGAAACATTGTTATTAACAGATTGCAAAAATTACATAAGAATATCATAATTCCATAAAGCATCATTTAAGATCGTCTCGAAGCTCGATGAATCCAAAACTGCGCAAAGTGTCACAGGAGAATGAGAATCTGTACACATCTATCGATTGCAATAATCACGTGGATGCTTGTCCTATGAAGCACGTTAATTCGAACACTCGAAGAGTTGATTTTAGAGAGGATGAAATACACGAGCATAACGAAGCATGCATTGAACAGGTATTACGTTAATTGGCTCACGAGAGATGATATTTAAATATGATTTTTTCTTTTTTTTTTTTTTTTTTTTTNTTTTTTTTTTTTTTTTTTTTTTTTTTTGAATAGAAACAAGCGGAGAATAGATATTATGAAAATATCAAATTACGGAAAAAAAAGTCTAGGAACAATGAACCGCCGAGTGGTTTCTGTTGCAACGATTTTTCATACCTCACTGATCGAGGAGGAGAAGCTGACGACGAAAATTCTCAACAAATGGAACGGCCGACTCGAAAGCACTATCTCGATGAGAAACCTCAAAAAGAGAATACTTTGTTGGAAAGTTCGGACGAGTCGATTTTGGATTACTGCGAAGGACTTGACATGGAGCCTATCCTGAAAAGTATGTTTAAAAATTATAAGTTGCATATTTCGCAGAAACTTCGATATGATAAAATTTTATATTTCTCGCGTATATCTTTTCTTTTTAAATAAGTTTTCAAGAACACGTTTGATTTATTTATGCACTATATTTGAACGATTCGTGGAATATCTTTGAAAGTTGAAGTTACTGAAACTGTAAAAGTTATGTTAACCTCTTCAATATTTCATCGAAAGAAAATTTATCTACATATGCGCAAAAAAAAGTTATTAAAAAGAGTTTTCATTAAAAATAAAATGAATGAAATTTGAAAGTTTAAAGAGAAAAAGAAAAATCAAATAATCCTTAAAATCTTGCGAAATTATTAAAAAAGAAAGAAATCATATGAAAGTAACAAATTCGAAAATTCACGTTCCACGATGAATATTCAATAAATAAAATTATCATCGAATTATAACCTTATTTTTCATGATCCAGATCGATTTAAACCGGCCCTGCTACGAGCGGTGAATTGGATCTTCGGTGGTTGCCCGGAAGCATCGAGAAAAGCGGCGTTGAAACGCAACAAGATCGAAAAGGAAGAGAACCGAGAGACCGACGAATGGTTCCTGTAGTCAAGGGTGTTGACTACTTCGTTTCACAAATCGTTTCACACCGTCGGCAAAATCGTGGTTCTGTCACATCGAACATTATCCATTTCATATAGTACATCCCATCGATCGTTAAATTTGCGAAGTTTATCCACAAATTTAAAAAAAAAAAAGAAAAAAAAAAATTTTGTTCGTCTTTAATTTGAATAAATGTGGGTTTATCGTTCCCCCCTTCGCGTTGCTTATCTTAACAGGATGCGATCCGGAGAGCATCGTTTAAAACTCGAAATAACGACCAAACCATTCGTGTTTCCGCGAATCCATTAATTCATAAACAGATTTTCTCTGGATTCCTACCGCGCATCCGGAAGTGCGCGAATCGAAGAAATCGTTCCACGAGGCATTGATTCATTTTACGAGGTTGGCCGTGGCACGTTCTCCAAGTTAATATTTACAATAGTATTTAAACTGTTTATATATTCGTGGAATACCTTTGCAGGATCGATTCCAGAGATTTGAATAGAGAAAACGTGCAAAAAAAAAAAAAAGAAAAGAAAAGAAAAGAAAAAGAAACCGTTACAGCTTATTCATCAAGTTACGAACAATTGAATACGAAGCGAGACGCGAATAGAATGAGATATCTCTATCTCCGTTCCACCACCGTCCGGCTCCCATTCCTGTCTCGCTTCATCCAATCATGCCCCCGACTTGATAAATTAAATGCCTCAACCGACATTTTTCCCTACACCAACTTTCGCTCGTTTCTCTCGAAACTGTTCCACGAACAATATTAACACCCCTTACACAACATTTCCCTATATATAACATTCGCAGAGACGAATCTTTGGACGCGAAGCCTTTTTGGCTTAAGGAAACGCGTGTTACCAGGTTTTCGAAACGGGCGACCTTCTCCTCCTCCTCCTCCTCCTCCTCTTCCACCGTTGGTGCGCGCTCCGCCGCTGCCGGAAGTGGATATCGCGTGTATATACGTGGCTTAAGAGCAATAAAGGAGGGCCGGACTCGCCGAGCCGCCAAAAGAGAATGGGGAGAGACAGTCGTGCGGAGACCAAGAGCCGCGTCGGATCACGCAACGGAACCGCGAAATTCTCAGGAGCCACGTGACACGCGACAGAGAAGGCGAAGGAGGAGGAGGAGGAGGAGGACGATCGATCGTTTCCCTGTTTTTCTTTTTTTTTCTTTTTCTTTTTTTTCTCTCTCTCTCTCTCTCCTCCCCAGTTTCGATAATAACTAAGCCGCTTGGATTTCTAATATCGATCCCTTCCGCCCTGTTTCGCGCGGTTAACCGCGTACCTCGCCTCCCTTCCGCGAGGGGAACCGTAAAGGGAACTTGCAACCCCCCTGATAGTAGGAGCGAAAGTATCGTCGCGAGTTCACGTGTCACGCTCCGCTCTTTTTTTTTTTTTTTTTTTTTTCCCTCCTTTCTCCCGTTTGGAAAGAAGAGTTTAAAGAGAAGTCGTCCCCGCGATGGCCGGCTGTTGTGCGAGTTGATAGAAAGTGGTATAAGCGGCGTGGAATGCTCGAGGAACGGTACATCGGTGTGTTCTAAACGATTGGTGAGTACGCAGTGGAATAAAAATAACGCCGATATTTTTCTCGCTCTTTTACCTGTGCACTCGATTCGTAAACAAGGCTTGATTTATTGGATATATCACAAAACTTAACCGACTCTCGTTTACGCCCATTTTTCGTACTTTATTTTATTAACCAAATATGAAATTTTGTTTGCAATCTAGATCGCTATATCACGTATAGTTTATCTATCGTGTATCCCATATTGATATTGCAATTCTGTCTTTTTTTTACTTTAGTTCAAAGGAGAATCCGGTTAAAGAATTAGGCGAAACACGTGAACGCGAAAGAACGCATACAAAGAAAGTCGGGTTGAACCCGGTTTCTGACTTTATCCGACTCGGTTTAGATTCGCGACCAAAACACGGTCAGTCGAGCCTATCGGCTCGGTTCATCCGTAACGCGGCTTACACGCAGGGATCGGTACATTGTTAGACGCCGGAGTAAATTCCTTGAATTCCACGGGACATGTGCGAACTGTTCTATTAATGTACCCATCACGGGTTCCCTTCTCTTTCCTCGGACGACCACGGCCGCGCACGCACCTCGATTCCCGCTCTTTCTCCGCTGCTGTTTTCTCCACACCCCTCTTCCCCTCCCACCTCTTTCACCCGGCGCCGCGCCGATGGAACAGGAGAGCCACGGTGTATTTAAACTTTCGTTCGAAGGGGAACACGAGGCGAATGCCTCGGCCCGGATGCACCCGTTCTCGCCTCGATGAAGAAGACACGGGACACCCGGTAAATGGGAACCCGCGTTTACGATATTCGTGAACGTCGAACGCAGTCTCGAGGATGGAGGAATGTGGAGAGATCGGTGATTGGACGAACGAGAGGCTCGATAATTTTCTCTCTTTCTCTCTCTCTCTCTCTCTCTCTCTCTCTCTTTCGTGTATCAAAAAACGCGCAATGTTTTTCTAATTTGTTTTCTCATCATTTTTGTCTCGATTGAATTTTGTTTTTTTTTTTAATGTCGCGGTAAAATTTTAAGGATTTTTTAATTATTGGATATACATCCTATATTTCAACGAAGTTTGAACACATCGTTTTTTAAAGAAGTTAATTAAAAGAAGATCAGTTACTAGATCATAAATGATTTAGTGTTTTATATTTAATTTTCATAGTATCTAAATTTTATAAGTATATAAAAATTGTAATAAATGGTACGATAATAGTGCATGCACCATTAAATTATATTTTTGAAACAAAAATCTTTCGTAAATATTAAAAGTAATCTCTTATAATATTTTAAAAAATTAATAAAATCTTTCAAAATCTTATTTAAAGATAATCAGTATAAATTTCGATGTTTTTATTCGAAATTCCGTATGATTCTTTCAAATTTTGCAACGATGTTGTGCAGATACATTTTTCTAGCCTTTCTCGCCCATTTTTTTCTCCCATTTAGATTCTACCATTCCACGAAACCTGAAATAATATAACAATTTTTTGTCTAACAGATTTTCTAAGTTACAAATATTATTTTACTTTTTTTATTTCGTTAAAACAACGCGTATAATATCTAAACTAGTTGTTTACAACTTTGATGCTGAATAATATTCAAGCACTAATATTCACAGATCTTTAAATGAGTTAAATTTGTTTATCGTTGCTAGCCGATATCGAGCCTATATATTATTAACTGGCCGCTCTCGAGACCACAAATTTCGACAATGTTTTCCTTGGCAGATGCGAACGTTGAACACCGGTCTACCTGTGTCAGTGTTCGAATATTTTATATATGAAATTCGGAAACGTTATCGGCGACCGTGGAAACCGGCCAAGGAAAGATGTAACCGTGACAAATTTTTCCTTGGTCCTCGGCCACGCGTGCGGAAACCGCATAAACACGCCCCTCGTTTCTTCTTCGCTCTACGTTCCTTCTGCCTTCTTCCTCCCCATTTCAATCTCGAGTTACACAGTTATGTTACACTTTGTGCAGTGACAAATGCGCGGAGTATGACGTCAAATGCAATTAGAGGTATTCGGAGGAAGAAGAGTTCGTTATGCGAGGTGAAGGTGGCTGTGATTGGAGCGCCAGGTGTCGGCAAAAGCGGTGAGTATTACGTTTTATCACGAATCTTGCCTCCATCTCTTTGTTGCATTGCATCTTTTGCTTTGGATCGAAAAAAATGTTCACCTTTTTTTGATTAAAATTCAACGTATTCTCATCTTTCGAAATGTTTGAATTTTTTTAGGTATTTTATATTCTTTTAAAGTTAAAAAATTTATATATATAAATTTTTCAGAGATCGAAAAATACACGTTATAATTAATTTGTGTTGTTTGATAAAAATAAAAAAATTGACGAAAGTTTAGAATATTAATTAACATTACTTCGAAATGTTGGATAGGATATATTAATTGAAATTTTTTAATAGCGTCCACTAGTGAAAAATTAGTTATTTTTATGTTAACGTATTCGTGCAAATTTCGATACACTTTTATACGTTTCAATGGAAGCCACGTTTCGGTGGAATTGTTGAAGAGTAAGAGGAAAATAGGGAATGTCTATTTTTGATTGGTGGCTGAAAGAGAGTATATTTATATTTCAAAAATTGAAGAAAGAAAAAGGTAGTATCAGATTCCAAGATACATCATCGTTTTAACTTTAAAAATTGAAAAATTTCTTTTCTTCAAATTCGTTTTCTTCATCTTCAAAAAAATCGAGAAATCACCGGACTAAAATCGAAATTTTGATTTTCTCAATAAATTTGCTCAAAATATTTCCCGCTCTTTTCCTTTTATCCACAAGTTATGTAAAATCCGCTTTTACTTTCAGCGCTGTTATTTTGTTTTCATCGGTGCTTATAACGCGAGCGTTTTCATCTGCATTTTCACTTGACTCGCTTTCGTGAGCATGCTAATGCACGTGGTAACACTTAATTTTGTTTTTAACCACGACGATAACGAGCGTGACATTAACCATAATCTTCTCTGGATACAATATCTTGCAAACTTGCAGTCAGAAGATTAATTCGACTGAAGAAACGTTCTAAATGGCAAATGATCATCCTTCGTCAACAGTTTCTTGCGATGCATATGTGTTATCATTATATCCATATCTTTATAATATCGAAACGTATACGATATTATGATTGAAATTTAATTTCAACTTTGATTTTTCTCTTAAAGGAAAACTTTCGTCTTAGTGTTAAAATGTCAAATTGTTGTTGATGTATGTCATTCATAAAAATCTTCATTTGCCTAAAAAAAGATATATTTTTTATAGAATTTTATAGAATTTTATAGAACCATATTTTTTATAGAAAATTTAAAAAAAAATGCACAAAATACGTAAAATTGTATAAAATATTCAAATACTTGTTGAAATAGCTGATAACGAAATAGCCCTTATTATTTTTTAGTGCATGATCGACTTTGTAATGAATTTTTATAATTTTATGAGCTTCGTACAAAATGTATAAATTGTTTCATGAATTACATATATACATAACATTAACAAGAAAAATCATAAAGAGAATCATTAAGAA